GAACACAAGAAACAGAAGTACTTTTATTAAAGGACAAAGCCGATTGTTTAGCAAGTTGACAAGAGACACAATCCAAATTATCTAAAGAGACAGGACCTAACCGACCACTAGAAATTAAAAATTTCAACCCATTACAAAAAATATGGCCTAACCAACAATGCCAAATATGAAAATGTGAAAATGTAGAAGCAGAGGAAGCAGATGTAGGGGCAGCCAATGGAGTACAGATTGGGACGTGAAGATGAATGAGCTCATAGAGACGTCCATGCTTACGATCGATCCCAAGGGTCTGTCCTGTCCGAGGGTCCTGCACCAAATAACCATTAGCAGAAAAGGTGATAGTTAGATCATGTTAACATAATTGACTAATGGAAATAAGGTTTAAAGTGAAAGTAAGAACAAGATAGATATGGGATAAGGACAAGTGAGATGTAGAGACAGAACCAATATAACTCACAGACATAAGAGAACCATAAACAGTATATATGGAAGGAATATGAAGAGAAGAAGATGTGGAAGGAAATATAGTAGAGTCAGAAGTCATATGGTTGCAACATGCAGAATCAAAGTACCAGGAAGATGTACTTGAGGTGACAGACAAAGTAGTAGAATGAGGAGTACCAGAAGTGGAGAGAAACTATTTAATTAGGGTTTTAACATCTGTCTGAGAGAAGACTGGGGTGGAAGGATCCAAAGGGTCAGACGAGGAGAAGTCCTCAGAAGCAGCAACAGTAGTGCAATGAGCAGGCATAGACCGAAATTGATTCCCGGAATGGTGAAAACGTCCCCGTGAGTGAGATCTACGAGATGATTTTCTAGTAGAGGATGCACGTGATGGACTGTGAAAACAATCTTGTTGGAGATGACTGGGGGCAGTTTTGTTGCAGTAGCAGCAAGACCTGACTAAACAATGAACCAGAAGATGAGTAGAGGGGAGCTCGCGATTCTGACAATAACTGCACTGAGGAGTTTGTGAGAGAGAAGAGGAACTCCGTATTTGAGAAGTGGCTAGAACGGAGTCCGTATGTGAAGTAGATGAAGGACCAAGATGAGTTTTCTCAGATAGAAGCTCAGATATAGCTTGCTCAAGAGAAGGCAAGGGAGTGCGATGTAGGAAAGATGCACATACCGGCTGAAAATGAGGGATGAGAGCCATGAGAAACTGAACCAACCGTTGTTGATTGCGATACTCAATAAATAAAGCAACATCTTCAGAATGAGACCAGGTAGGTTCAGAAAAAGCAAGCTGATCCCAGACAGAATATATTTGAGACAAAAAATCATTAATGGACTGGCCAGGTTCTTATTGCATGCGATAGATGTGACTCTGAAGCTGATACTGATGTGCAAGTCCAGTAGTTTGATACCGTTCTTTGAGAAAGTCCCAAATATCTTTAGCAGGGATAGCAACTGAGTCAAGTTAAAAACAACCGAACTGAAGACTGATAGATATGACCGAGGTATTGCGAAACCAAGTAATGATATGATAATTTTTGTTGTCCCAGTCTTCCAAGCGATCAAAAAAATTGGTTATAGTTTCCTTAGCCCCTTTTGTAGGTTTAGGCACATCCCCAGTAATAATGCGGTATAATTTGTGGCCTTTGAGAAATCCAGACATGGCTTGGGCCCAGAGGACATAATTAGAGACATCAAGAAGTATAAAAATAGGATGGGCAGAGTCGGAGCGACCTATAATGGTGTAGAATTCTTTAAAAATAATAAATAAAATAAAAGCAGCACTTGGTGGCAAAATTGACAAAAATAGAATGTGTCAGTGAGTTGGAAAGGTCCAAAATAGGTGGAAAAGTGACCAGACCAACCAAAATACTACCCAAAAATGCGTGAAAAGTAGCCCAAAACAAGATGTGGGCCGAACTAGGGCTGACGTTAGTAGCAGAGGGCGAGCTGACGTCAATAGAAACAACAGCGTGTGTTAGCAAGGCACGGTGCACAATAGCGGGCAGAGGTGCGACGCACGATAGTGAGGGTGCGTGGCGTATTAGCAAGATGATGGTGATGGTCGGCTCAGTCGGCTTAGTGTGGAGCGGCGGTTGAGGGTTGAAGTTAGAGATCATAGAGATGAGCGTGGAGCGTGTTGGCGAGTGGCAACGAAAAGCGGTAACGGGCGGTGATAGAGGCGGCGTGTGAGGGCACGTGAGAGGCCCTTTGATGATGGGTGTCGTGGCATTGGAATCGTGAGGAGATTCCGAGCAAGATGATGGTATGGTTGGAGGAAAAATATTGAATAGCTCGCCTGACAGTGTGTAGTCAATATCCAAAAGGAAGAACTAGAAATAACATGATGTATTTTGGTGAAAAACAAAAGAAAAGAGTGAAGAAAATTCACGGCTCTGATACCATGAAAAAATAATGTAGAGAGAAAAGTTAAACTCTGTATGTATTATATTGAACCAAGTACAAGGACTCTTATGTTTATAGAATGAGAGACTATATACTAAGGAAGAAGGTTACACTAAATAGGAAGGTGCATCAGTCACACACACTAAATATGGTAGGTACACTAATTACTACCAAGTAACAATATATAACTATATATACACTAACACCCCTGATGATATAAGTAAATGTTTTGCCTATGGATTAGACACTTTGATGGTATTTTAGAGCATCTCCAATGGCAAGTCATTGGAGTTGCTATTGCCATAATTTGGCAACTGTTTACAAAAACCTTGCTCTAATGATTGGTTATAATTGCTGTCAAATTTGACAAATACCAAAATTTGTGTCAAATTTGACACAAATTTTAATAACGGTCATAATTGCCAACTCACAAGCAAAATCTCCCTCCATCCATCCCTTCCTCCCAACAAAAGATCCCTTTCTCCCATTGTCAGTCATTTTTGCAGAACCAAAGCTGGGTGAACACGTCAGTTTCCAGCTTTGGTGGCAAAAAGAACAGCCCTCCATTGAAGCACCATTGCTATAATTCTACTATGTTCTACTATTCATTACCATAATTTGACAATGACAATACTATTATAATATTTGTCATTGGAAATGCTCTTAGCTTTCATCTGCTTTAGTTCTCGCAAAACAAACTCTTACGGTGTGTTTAGTTGGGGGATTTGGGGAGGGATTTAGAAAGGGAAAGGGAAAAAGTGTGTGAAACTAAGTGAAATATAAGTATGTTTTATTCGCATTTCACCTACCTTTCCATTTTCTTTTCTAAATTCCTCATCAAATCCCCCAACTAAACACAACATTAGGAGCACCAAGAGGTGTCCATCGTCCTCCAAATATCAAATCCACAATGAGTTTGAGAGATAACATAATGGAGATTCAGATTTATAAAATTAATTACTTTGTGTATAATGTACCCTCCTTATATATACTCGTAACACAAAAGTTCTAGAAGACTTCCCTTCCATGATTGAGGAAAATAATTAAGTATTAATCCGTGTGTTTGATTTAAGTTTTTTGAATTAAATTTTTTGAAAAATGAGTTTTTTAATTTTCGTATTTTTTTATTTTTAGTAAATATTTTTAAAATTTTAAACATTTTTTTTTACTTTTTTAGATACACATTACTTAGATGCGTCTAAAAAGTAAAAAATTTGTGAAAAAATATTTTTAAAAATTAATAAATACATAAAAATATAAAAAATGTACTGAATTATCGTATTTTTTTTTATATTTTTGGTATTTAGTGAATTTTTAAAAGATTTTTTTAATTTTTTTTTACTTTTAAGATATATGTATGTTAGGTATGTTTAAAAATTAAAAAAATTGCTCAAATATTTTTAAAAATTCAGTAAAAATAAAAAAATACGAAAAATAAAAAAGTAAAATTTTTTGAAAAGTATTTTTAAAAAATAATAACCAAGCATAGTGAATAGAGTTCGCCCTGTGAAATTATGAATCCATGCACTACCTCTGAAAATTAGAAGCTACTAATTACTTCATCAGGTTAATTGCAAGTAGGATCACTCTATCTAGACATCTTCATATGTTTCTCGTTATTTAGGTTAACTTCCTCTCAACCTTTTGATTTATATGATCACTCCGTTAGACGATATGGACAGCATTACTCGAAAGACTTAACCTCATGGTTGGCAACCCCCTATGCTAATCCATCAAGTACAAGTCAAGGCAAGCCAAGTCCATGGATGAAGCCTATCGATCTAACTAGGTGAGCCAAGCTTTCATTAATTGTGAACTTGTTTGAAATATGAATTTTTTTGTTTGTTTGTTTGTTTTTTTTTTTTTAACTAAAATAGTTAAGTCTATCTCTCCAACTAGGTGAACTAGCTTTCGTTAGTTGTGGCCCTGTTTGGGATATAATTGTTTTTGTTTTTTTTTTTAAAACTAAAATAGTTAAGCCTATTGATTCAACTAGGTGAACCGAACTTTCTTTAATTATGGCCTTGTTTGGAATATGATTTTTTTGGGTTTTTTTTTTATTAAAATAGTTAATAAAAATAAAATATGTTCCAATAGTTAATAAAATAAAACATTATATTCAAATAATAATCATTTTATTTTTTCTCTCACAATTATTAAGTCAATTACAAAAAAAAAATTATCATTTCAAACACAATTTTTTTAATGAAATTAAAATAACCAAATAACTAAAAAAAATCAATTAAAATAACCAAACTTTCACACGGGACCTGTGTATACATTTTGATAAATTCAAAATTTACAAGTCAAAACCCATGGGGTAATACTAGGGACATCAAATTTTCTACCAAACAAATGATCAAATTTCTCATATGGATGTCCCCACACCTATGTGAGACATTTGGTCATTTATTTGATAGAAAATTTGAAACCTCTAACATTTTTCAAACCTATGTGTGTTTGATATTTGATAAAGTAACTCAAAATTAATATAAAGAGCAACTATAAATTTATATTCAAACTTTACCATTAAAACAATAAAAATCAAATATATATATATATAAATTTTTTTTTATGACATTGATTCTTCATTTCATATTTGGTGACGACAGAAGTTGTAGTTGCACGTGAACAAGGGGTTCAACAGTTTGAAAGGCCTCCAAGTTCAGAGGGCCTAATACGACAATTTTATATTTTCAAACTCACAATTAATACAAATTAATCAAAATCGACAACGATCATTAAAACTAAATTAATTAATTAATTAATACACACACAGCCAACACATATCATCATCATCATGATGTATCATGTTAACGAAACCCAGAAGCTTCCGGAAACGACGTCGTCACATAATCTCTCACCTCCCTCGCTATAACCTCCCTCATCACATCCCAAAACTCCGCCGGCACCTCCTCCCCCCGCCGCCTCTCCGGCATCCCACAACCGCCCACCCCCGGCGGCGCAAGCGACAGAGTCGTCATCGGGTCGGACTCGTCAGTATTCATATTCACGAACGACCCAGATCCCGATGAACTGCCACCACCACCAACAACAAGATCACCACCGTCCATTCTCTCCATCGGTTGTTGTTGCCTTCTCTTCAGCGTGGAGTTCCAATGGTTCTTGACCGCATTGTCGGTCCGACCCGGAAGTAACCGGGCAATGGTGGCCCATCTGTTACCGTACTGGGAATGAGCGGCCAGGATTGTCTCGTCCTCGGCTTGAGAGAAAGGACGGTGCTCAACGTTCGGGCTCAGCTGGTTGCACCACCTGAGACGGCACGACTTGCCGGACCGACCCTTAATATATTTGCTAATGAGGGACCAATTTCGGGCCCCGTAGCGGTCAACTAGGCGGGTCAAGATCTTGTCCTCTTCAGAGCTCCAAGGACCCTTAATTTTCTCAGCTCTGTTAGACATAGAATGATCAGACGAAGACGAATCAGAAGAAGAAGACGTGACAGAGGAGCACCTGTTGAATGCTTCCATGGTAGATAAAAAATAAAAAATGAAACACAGGGAGAGAGTGAACTGATGAGAGTGAAGTTGAGAGGAGAGTGATTGGGGGTGAGAGAGAAGAGATGTGGTTTGGGTGTTATATATATAGATGTAGAGAGAGAAAGAGAGAGTGTTAGTTAAGGAGAGAGAACGAGGGTGCATGCACTTCGGCGAAGAGGAGGAGGAGGGGGTTCCAGGAAACTGCGTTGTGTAAAGTTGTTGGGAGTACTAACCAGAACGGGTGCGTAGATGCGCACCCCCCCGGTTTTGTATAAAAATCGGATTTCTTTGTTTCTGCGACCAGATTTGGCGCGACAGATTCTGTTTTGTCGTTACGTGTTAAATGACCATTTTCTCCACCTCATAAATGGGAAAGCCCGACGACGAAAACTTTTTTTCTTGCAATTAATTTGGCAACAGATTAAAAACACACCCCTTTTTTTAGTTGATTTTTTATTTTCAAATCCTTTTAGTTTTGAACAATCGAAAATTAAGAAAATGGAAAAAATCCAAAAAAATGTTTTTAAGTTATTTATTTATTTCTTTAGTGAATTTTTTAAAACAAATTTAATTTTAAGATTTAAAAATGAAATAAAAATATCACCAAAGACTAAAAAAATGTTTAAAAAGTAATTGTATAACCTCTTTTAAGAAATTTCGAAATATCATACAATATTATTTATGTATGTGGTATTTTTGGTAATAGACTTAGGTCTCATTTAAGAGCATATTATTTTAGTAATTTTTTAATTTTTTATAAAAAGATATATAAAAAAATAGAGAAAGTAGTGCAATAATTTTTAACTTTTTGACTAAAATATATAGTTGATAACCGAGACATAAATGTGCCATTATTTATCTCTCAATTGATTAAAAAAGATGGATTGATATTATTTTATTCATAAGATTTTTCACTATGATTGAAAGCACACAAAGGCATAATATACCACAGGTTTGAATCATCTTATAGGTTTATTGGAGGCTGACCGAGCAATAAAAATTTGAGAATAAAATTTAAAGTCTTGAGTTTAAATAATCTCAAAGAATTACCAAAAAATTGTAATTTGAGAATCTCGAAATTAGTCAAGATATATTTAAAGTAGCTCAAACACTCAATTATCAAAAATAAAGAAATAAATAAAGGCATAATACAAAATTTCACCCTCCTTGGTGGCACGAAGGGGTAGTTAATTATGGTACGGATACATTGAACTGAGTATTTATTAATGATAGAGTTTGATGCATGCAATTATAAGTTTTGGTATGGTGGTGCGGACGATTTGAGTTATGAATCTCTCTAGTTTTAGAATTTAGTATGTGGATAGCGATAAAGTGTATCATTCAATTTCATTTGTTTTTGTGTGTACGTTGTGATAAACTACTACATTTTTTTAATTTAGTTCTTAGCAGAGAAACATGTTGTTAGTCCTGTCCTCCAAATGAGTTTCGACAATAGTAGTAATAAATATCCAACCAAAGTGTTGGTTCAGTGAACTCAGGTTTGATCTTATTCACATTTGTCGTATATGTACATTAAAATGATGAGGGACAATAATATGCTTCAAGATTTTATTTTGTCTACTTTAATAGGCAGGATCATCCAATCTAGTCACCTCGCTTCATTTAGATATCTGTTTTATTTACAAAGTTGATTGTTTTAATTGGCTATTTAATTTTTTTTTTATTATTATAACCTTAGTAAAAAAGTTGTATTTTGGAAATTAGTTGGCTTTTTTTATAGTTGATTTGATAGTTATGAGAAAAAAATGAAATGATTATAAATTGGACGTGATATTTTATTTTATTAATTATTTTAACCTGCTGTGTTTTTTAATGAGATAGCTTAACCCAACTCTCTCAATAAACAAGGCCATCTATTTTGTTCAATTTTTTCATCTTTGTATATAGGATATTTATAAAAATAAGATAGATGGATTCCATAATTATAACCACGGATTTATCATCTAAATTTTTTTAAAAAATAATATGTTTTCAAAATGATAATTGCTGTCTAATTTTCAAAAAAATAAAATTATGTGATTACAATCTTAAAAATAAGAACAGGTATAATTATACTTCGCCCGCACATAACAATCTTATGGTTTAAACTGAAAACGTAACTTTCATGTGAAATCCCTTGTTTGTGATGGGGGGTTTATCCCTCCACCCAGACACTCAAAAAAAAAAACACACACTCAAAAAAAAAAAAAAAAAAAACTTTCATGTGATTTGGACATAGTATAAAATCTAATTTCACTAACAACTATAAAAAAAAAAACTTATATTGTCTTTATTTATTTATCATTTTTATTTATGTACTGCCATTACCATAGCTCAAAATTAGTTTTTCTATTCATTTCTCTTTAAAACTAAACAACAAATATTTAAAAAAAAAATCATATCACAAATGGGTTAATGATGGGAAACACTTTTACCGAGTTCACACAATATATATAGAAGTATTTTAGGAAGATGATTAAAAATTATTTTTTAATTTTTTTGTAAGAGCGGAAAGTGTGTTAAAAGTTGAGAAGTAACTTTTAACCCAATTCTTAAGATAGGCCATAAACTACACTATGCGTTAAAATTAATGATGATTTTTGTTCATTTTGGCCTTTAGTCTCTACATATTCTTAACATGCAAGCAAAGTGATAACTTTTTTCGCACATGTTCTTAAACCAATTCCAATCTCTCCTTAAAAGAAAAAGTAATTTGTTGAGAGATAAATAAATACACTAATTTTAACCTCAAAAAAATGTGATACCCAAAAAAAAAAAAATTGTGAAAATTTTACTGATTAAACTAGGGTCATTCAAAATAAAATATGTATCAAGATGCTTTTCATTTCAAAAAAGTGATAGCCACATTATTCTTGATGCATGTATATATATTGTAAAAGTAGACTTTACCTTTTAGCAAGTAAAATAAATAAATTTAAAAGGTCCAAGAACAGAGAAATTAGACACTAATACAATGGTCATGTTTGGTGTAACTGTTAAAACAGATTATAAATTATAACTTAACAGATTATAGATTATGACTTTAATTAGAAACTGTTAATCTGTTTGATATAACTGTTAGATTATAGATTTAAGTTGCTGAGTAATGTTTGTTAAATAAGCTGTGATGTAACTTTTCCAATTAACTTTTACTTTTTATTATTCACTATTTGTCTACATTTCTTATAAAAAAAATAATAATAATATTTTATAGTCCATTTGGGCCTTTTTCTATTTTTAAAAAAATAAAAAATAAAAAAATCTAAGAGTGTAACCGTGAATTAACATGTCCACAGCAAAAGTTGATAATCAGAAGCAAGGGGTGAGCAGCTTGTCAGAATTAATTTTTTTGACTTAAAATAAGCTGTTAGAATCAGAAGCTGTTAGAAATAAGTTCAACCAAACAGTCCAAAATAACTTTTTAAAAGTCAGAAGTCATAAGTTAGCTCAAAAAAATCCCACTAAACACCCCCAATATTACTTGGCTTGCGAAATTATTAATCAACTAATTGATCCAACCAAAGGTGATTATTAGAATAATGTTTGAGAGCTCGAATTTGGCCCTCCCTAATCCCCTTAATCCCCAAAACGACGTTGTTTTGGGGATTTTTTTTTTCTTTATTTTTTCTTCTTCCATGTTCGACTCTACAACAGCTCGGAGGGAGAAGGAGAGAGAGAGAAAAGAAGAGGGGAAGAGAGAAGAGATCGTCGCCCAGCACGTCGCCACCGATCGCCCAGCCTGTTGCCGCCGTCACCCAACTCCGATCGTCGCAGCAACTCCGCCGTCGCCTCCGGCCCCACTTCCGCCTCCTCCCACTGTTATGGCCCCCTACAGTCCACTCCTCCTCCTCCTCCTCCTTCCTCCTTCCTCCTTCCTCCTCCTCCCTTCTCTTCTCCTTCTCTGCTTCTGAAAAAAGAAAATCAAGATTAGGGGGATTCAGGGGAGCTCGTTTTCGAGCTCCCTAGCACGGTCGGTGATTATTATTCAATTGGGTACAATCTTTGCTCGTGGTTAAAAAATTAAGAGAAATAAATTTTTTCTCAAATGTATAAAATAATTTAAAATTCCATGGTACGAGGAAAAAAAAAACATTAAAGTGTGTTTGATTTCAATTTTCTAAAAACTGAGTTTTTTTATTTTTTGTTTTAGTGAATTTAAAATTTCAAGCAATTTTTTTACTTTCTTAGATGTACCTTACTTAGATATATTTAAATAGTAAAATATTTGTGAAAAAATATTTTTAAAACTTAATAAATACACAAAAATACGAAAAATATACTAAATTTTTGTTTTTTTTTTTGTATTCTTTGTTATTTAGTGTATTTTTTTAATTTTTTTTTTTTACAAATATTATACTTTTTAAGTGTATTTATGTTAGGTGTGTCTAAAAATTTAAAAAAAAAATTGCTTAAAAAATTAAAAAAAATTCATTGAAAATATTAAAATATGAAAAATAAAAAAATAAAATTTTTAAAAAATTATATTTTTAAAAACGGAACCAAACAAGTTGATTAATACTACGAACTCAAACTTAGTTACTCATAAATTATGTAGAATTATCATCTTGTAATTTAAATTTATTCTACACTACATAAATTTAATCTTCACTATACAATCGCCCACCCTTAACTTTTCCGGATTAGCAACTTAATTGGAAAAAAATTGTTTGCAACTCATCGAAAAGAATTTGATAATGACATTTTTTAAAATTATAAGTAGCTACTTCTTAACTTTTAACTTATTTTGAGTTATTTTATCTCTCACATTTTTTATACATTTTTTTAAAAAAAGTCAAAAAATAAAAAAATTAGTTTTTAATCATCTTCTCAAAACAATATGGAAATCTTGTAGAAAAATTTTGTTTGTCAAACAAAAAAAAGCCGTTATTTAAATCTAAAAGAATTATTTTATTAAAAAAGTCTTTAACTTTTTTGAAAATTTTATTTTTTCAGAAAACGAAGTCACCTAACTATTTTAAAAAATCATTAAAAAAAGTCAAAATAATTAGACTATGACAAATAAATAACATTTCAGTAATTTTCCAAGCCGTCTAGTAGAAGGCAATTTTTTTTGAAAACTGCATGAGACCTCAAAGGGGGTGTTGGGGTCTCT